GTAACGGAAGTAAGAAAAGTAACAGAAGTAACATTTCTGTTACTTTTCACGTGACTTCGAATCGGGTAGGGATCGTCTATCGATTCGGGCCCCCGTGATTCACAAAAAACCGGGCTCACAGTACTCATGATCCTGAAATCATTTTTGTGCACTCTTGTGACAGAAAATCGTTACTTCAATAAGACTTCATTATGATGAGATGATCTTCAAAAATTAGCCAATCATGATAAGCCCGCTATGCTCCCAATATAATAATAATTTCATTACTTAGTGGATGCCATGTTTGGATGAGTGATGCAGGCGAATCGGCTCCTTGATGCCGTAACTTGTCCTACCTTCAGAATGGTTTTACCACAAAATCCCGACATTCAAAATCTCGACAGGCCATTATACTGACATCACGCGACGTGACAATTAAAAATTCGAAGTCTGACAATGATTGTTAATGTGATTACGAACCTTTAAATGTTAATTGTCACGTCTGGATTATGGTTTTCGAGATTTTGGATGTCGGGATTTTGTGGTAAAACCCTTCAGAATATATAATAATTATAATGAGTTACGGCATCTTTAAGTTACGACAAAAAAGGTACAGCAATTCGCCTGCATCTCTAATCTGGATATCATGCAACATTTTTGTCCCGCGATTAACGAGTATTTCCAATATTAGTATTCAAATATCCAATAAACAATCCAAATCAATCCAATGATTGGCTGTTTTTTAATCTCATCATCCCGTTGTTAGTGCTATCTGTGACTTTAGCCAATAAAATCATCAGATCATGTAACACAAAAAATATACCAATAACAATTTAACTTTTAAATAAAAATCTTTGCTTAAGGGTATTTTTAAATATCGATTATCAAGTAAATAAAAGCCTATTAAATTCTTGATCCACATAACTTGGCACAGATTTCAAACGTCTAGTAGAACAAAGTTCAGATTACCCGTCTTCCGTATAACTGGTATAGCCTAAATTAAGCAGAAATCTCAGACATTTGTGTATTTTACACCTCTTACTCTAAATTGGCAGCTGTGAAATCAAAATCAAGAATCTGCCGTGACAATTTTGTTGAGCGGGCTTCATCTTGTTGCATTACAGCAGTGTACATAAATTGATATATAACAACGCTTAGCATTTCTTCGGATCAATATTAGACTCTGATTTCCTAGTTTATTGCATTAATTTTACTAACTTGCTATTTAATACATACTAATGCAATTGCATGATTGTTTTATCATCGTTGTTGTATTGGTAAACTTTGCTTGACGGGATTTTGACGCCGATACAGAATATCCCATATACGTATAATTATCTCATATCACCGATTATGTTATGAAATAATTTATTTTTCACCCGAGCGAATTTTTCGCCCAGCTTGTTAAGATTTCGATTATTCTTTTTTTTATTTATGCTTATTAACTTTATTAAAAGAGAGAGATTATGTAATACATTGTCTTAAAATTTATAATCTAATCTTACGTCTTAATATCTATAGAGTCTTTATAAAAATCTGATCCTAGTCTTATTATTTATAAATTCTTTATAAAAATTCAATTTTATCGTTATATTTATTAACTTAATATAGCATGGAACAAAGGAATCGTTCTATATATAAATCATAGATTGTAAATCATTTGTATAAAAAAAAAAATCAAATATGTAAATGAAAAATAATGTGCTCATGTATATAAAATATATTGTACTGTCAGTTTATAATAAAAGTTTAATAAAGTGTTTGTGTTTTAAAATTTTATAATATTTCTTAGAATCTAGAGATTTTGATTTTTTAATTTACTTGAAATAAAAGTTAAAAGCAACATCGAATTCTTTTCCAGCTGTGTTGGGTAAATACTTGTAAAGTTCTTTTTTTTTGCAGGATTTAGTGATTCAGCTAACCATCTACGTAAATAAAGGTCTTATGTCTCTTGTTTAATTTCTGCAAAAGAGTCAATTAAAATCTTTCCATTTTCATCCAATAGACTTTCAAAAAGGTGAATATATTGAGAATAATACTATAATTTAATTAAAATCCTAAATCAATTAATTCAGTAAGTCGGCCTTGAGAGTTTTAGTCCATCTTGGAGGTTGTGCAGGTGGGAAAAGAATTAGAAGAGCTCCTTGCATTACAAGGTCATTAACATCTTCACAGATTTCATAATAACAAATTTTTTCCAAAGGTTTACTAGATCTTTATGGATTAAAATAACATTAATTTGCCTATTGTTTTCATATCCATCCTTTGGTGGATACTTGGTTAGCTAATTAATTCGCATTTCAGTAGATTTTCTTGGTGAAAATGGTATAAATTTCGTAATCAATATTAAATCCTTGATTAAGTCTAAATTTTTTTCTAAAACAGTTGGTGCATAATTAATTGTATTAGGACCTCCAGTAAGAAAATGAAAAAGTTCTCTGTCATTTCCTTTTAAGTATAAGTAAGTATATTGTAAGGCCAAATAACGTGATGAAATTAAGATGCCAGGGCCTCACGTGAGAGCGGGTATGGCGATCAATTCCTTGATATGGTTATCCTGGCAATTAATCGCATTAATTCGATTAATGAAATATATCAAGGAAAGAGGATTTAATAGCGAAGGGGAATTTATTAAGTATAAGGGTTTAGGTGGATAATGAGAGAGGTCGAATTAAATAAAGAAAATATAGAAATGGAGTTTATGTAATTAAATAAGTCATAGTTAGAAAATAAAGGCCGAAATGGCCTTTAGAGGCGATTATGTCTCGTTTGCTTTATTAAAAAGAACAAGTCTCAGTACAGTGTATCGTCTATAATAAACCCTAACACTATACCCAGTATAAACCCTGTAAACCCCTATAAACATCGTCGTTCGTTCAAGTTCTTATTCACGTGACTTACCCTACTGACCTTCGTTGACCCAAAGTAACCGAAAGCCTTAATCACCCAACAGCCAAATCTAACACCCTCTTTCGAAAAGGTTACCTACCGTACGTTACACGAGATTTTGGATTGTGAAGCGACCGAGTCGCAGTATTCCGAAAGTATACATAGCAACCGTATAAAAATTTGCGGTCCCGTGATGATCTACGCTAAAATTTCATTGGCCAAAAACAAACTGCAGATCGTCACGCATTTTCGATTAAAAAATTAACTTTGACGTTAGGATAAGAGTGAGCATTGAAATGTTAGTAATGAGGGCCCCGAATATAGCAAAATTTTGCAATGAATTTTTTTTGCTAAGACGTAAAAGGTGGTTTAGTAATCAAAATTTTGAGTTATATACGAGTTTTTAAAAACAGCCGGCAGTTTGTTTTCTTTTCACGTTACACTTGATCATGCGTCGTGATTGGTTTAAAATCACATGCCAGCGGACATTTTATGCGGTTGCTATGTATAATGTAATCCGAACACAACAATATAAACGGAAATGGGCAAATTACTCGCCCATGGGATCATTCTTTGCTGCAAAGTCTTAATACTATCAATTTCTGTTTGTCTTAAACTATGAGCAATCTTTAATTCAATAAGCTTTTGGTCGTAATTTCCATAGTGAATAAGAAGACGTTGTACAAAGTATCTCGAAGAATTCCACCTTTAGTGATAATAGCGCGAGTGACATCAACAGAGATAAATTTAGGTCCCAATATAACAGCGTGGAAAAGGTATTGGGCTCACCAAAATTGATAAATAGTCCATTCTGCTTTTGCTTAAGAATCTTTACATATAAAAGACCATCTTTTGCAACTTACAGCTAAATTCATAGGATTTTTAACATATTTAAAAAAAACATATATCATAACTTCATTAGGTAGTTCATTTTGAAAGTAATTTTTTCTTTTGAGTTCTTGCAAACATCTTTCTTTTGTGTTCTTTTAACCGTCTAATCTGCAATAATAAAAGAAGACATGTTAATGCTGTGTGTCTTCCATGTGAATTATGTATGCAGCACAAACGTAAAGACGATCAGCTTGCAACAAATAATATTGAGACTGGATCTGTGTTACATGAGCTACATTTATATGTTGGGATTTATCCTATTTGCGTATAATCAATTCTTAGATAAAAAAAAGTAGGTACATTAATAAATGCGTGCATATTAGAGTAATAAGCATATCGTTAGAATCTAATATTAGCTATGATTCCGAAAAATATCACTTTATACAAATCTTAAACTTTCACTTCAACATGAAATGGGTTTATCCTCATCATATGATTCGATGATTTGTCAATAATTTTCAACGAATGGAATTTATAAAGAAGGTATTATTATATAGGAA